CGGCTGAAGCTGCATAGCACTGACACTGGCACTGGTACTCCCCGAGACAGCTATGGAAAATGCATCGATCGCCTGAAGCTGCATCCGGGCAAACTCATGAATCAATGGACTCTGCTGCGTAATGACGAACGTCAAGTCACCCTTCACCTTTCGGCTTAGGGCATCTGCGACGACGTTCGCCTTTCCTGGATGATACTGAATAGAGCAATCGTAATTCTTAACAAGCTCAAGCCAACGGCGCTGCCTCATATTAAGCTCCTTCTGCGTGAAGATATACTGCAGGCTCTTATGATCTGTGAAAATCTCGCAGCGTCCGCCGTAAAGATAATGTCGCCAGATCTTCAGGGCATGAACGACTGCTGCTAACTCCAAGTCGTGCGTAGGATAGTTCTGCTCATGAGGCTTAAGCTGACGTGAAGCATACGCGACGACCTGGCCGTCCTGCATAAGGACACATCCCAAGCCCTGTCTCGAAGCATCGCTAAAGATAGTGAAACTCCGAGAAGGATCGGGAATAGTCAACACCGGTGCTGAAGTTAACCTCCTCTTGAGCTCCTCGGAAACAGTAAAACTAGAATTTACAAGCTTAACTTAAAGCTTATACTTACTGATTGCATGACTTGAGAATCCAGTAATTTAATACTGAATAAAAGACTTGATCTGAACTGAAGATACATCAATTCACAATTAAGTGAATTGTAGAATACAGCTGACTGAAAATGGACAGTTTTTTGAAAGAAAGTGTTCCACTGATAAGACATGATCTCAAAAACAAACTCTGAAAAATGTTGGTCGTCCTCTCCTGGCTGCTGGCGGATCTCCGATCGGAATGCTGGTGGTGAAGACTCTCTCTGCAATCTCCCAATGTACTGAGACTCAGGCATGGCATCTTTGAATGGAAAGCGTCGGTTTACCATCATGGCACGATCCGTTGTGGTCGATTGGCTCTTCTTCATCGCGGCGAATGTCAACCTGTGGTACCTGCAACGTTTTACTCCCTTCGAGGTTAAACTTAACCTCAAGAAGAAGTCCCTCATAACTTAATATCTCCCACGATTTCTCAGATTCTTCAGAATTTGAGAATCTAGGCGCTGACATACTGAAAATGGTAGATAAGTCTTGTCTTACTAGACAAACTATCCTCGATCTTGACATGACTGGCCTGAACATTCACCTAACTGAATAACCATG